AAAAGAAATAAAAATGGAAACAAAGTCTTTGTAAATAGGGAAGGGTGGAGGGGGTGAAGGGAAGGCAGGGGAATGGGGAAAAAATAAGAACCAAGGTACGTCACGTAAAGGTACAAGATCCCAAGATGAATGTAACTGTATTTTATACCTAAAATGTACCAATAAATTTAAGGGAAAAAAAAAAAAAAGAAAATTGTTCCTTAGAAACAGTCCCTTAGGCCAAATAGGCAAGTAATAAAGAAATCAACATGGCAGGGCAGGTCTATCAGGTTTCCCTGGTTTCCTTTTATGGGTGGAAATTCATCTGGGCCTGTTTACATTTCTGAAAAGGTCAAGTTCTGAAACACTTTTGGAGGCAGGCCAGAAGAAAATCACTGTACCTCCCACGGAGTTAAGACATACTCCAAGAACAGTTACGATGACATGAGGTAAACCAGCTTTACCATTTAATTATTTTCACTGAATTTCTTATGTTTTACGTAAATATAAATTGTAATTTTGGGTTTTTTTCCCGGTACCTGGAATAAATGATAGTTTTATACACCAAGAATGGCATAGTAGTTTCAATGAGATTATATTATTTTCTTATTTTTTTTGGTACCGGGGATCGAATTTGGGACCTTGTGCTTATGAGGAAGGCGCCAGAACCACTGAGCTAAATTCCCGGCCCTCAGTGAGATTGTAAATAACAACTTCTCTTGTTGGGGTAATACTTTATAGCTGGCACATTGTTTTCTTATACACTGAATTTATGCTGATTAACACTTCTGGAAATCACTTAAGATAGATGGCTCTCTCCATATTTTACGAGTAAGGCAACTAAGGAACAGAACAGTAAAGTGGCTTCTTCATTCCACACATGGCTGACTAGCATTTGGAACAATCAGCCAGGTTCTTGACTTCTCCTGTATAGTTTTTCCATTGTAATATTTTTACTAAATATTAAATAGTGAAAAGAAGAGTTTTTCTCTGGCCTAAAGTGAATGGATGGAAACTTCCCTCTTAAGCAGTGCTTAATTTTGTATGTTATAAAAATTTAATACAGTTCTAGTAAACTAAGATTAACTGACACCTCTCTGTCATACAAGATTAGTCAGATTTGTTTGGGGGGGGCAGCTCCTTTACACTGAGTTATATCCCCATCTCTTTTTTATTTTGAGACCCGGTCTTGCTCAGTCTCTAAATTGCCCAGGTTTGGCTTGTTGGTTGGTTTGTTTGGTTTTTTTTTTTTTTGAGACAAGGTCTTGCTAGTAGTTCAGGCTGGCCTTGAACTCACTATGTAGGGTAGGCTGGCCTTGAACTCACAGCGATCCTCCTGCCTCAGCCTCCTGAGTGCTGGGATTATAGGCATGTGCCACCACGCCCAGCTCCAGGTTTGGCTTGTACTTGTGATCTTCCTGCCTCAGCCTCCCAGAGTGTTGCAAATACAGGCATGTGATACCATACCGGCTAAGTCAGATTTGATTCTTGATCTAGGGGTGACAAACAGTAGTTAATTACAATCCACTAAGATAAAGATTATGCCAAGAGCACAGAAGGGTGTGGTAAGCTAGAGAGGTCCCTACCATGGCCTAGGTGGGTTGAAGAGCACCTCTAGAATTTATGATATGGAAGCTTATTTTGGTGTTTACTGGGTATAACTTTTATTACCCGAATCACTTTACCTTTCTGTTCTTCAGCTGCCTTTAACTATATATAACAGGGTTAGAAATACCTACACTGTCTAAAGTAAGTGCACAAATCTTAAGACTATTGAAAGTGATTCTCCCTCTTTTATTTAAATTAAAGATGGTCTAACTCTGTTGCCCTGGCTGGCCTCAAACTCCTGCCTTAGCATCCTGAGCAGCTGGACTACAGGCATGGACACTGCCCAGCTTGATGCTGACTCTTAAAGGAAGGCTCCCCAGGTGCTTTTCTAATAAAGTATTTGAGAAACTCTTTTATTTAAAAAAACTATAAATCATTTGTTATTTGGAATTATTTTGTAGCCAGGTCAGAGCAACCATCGGGATTGACACTTGATACCAGAACTATAATGGAGACTGTTGAAAGTTGTAAAGCTGCTTCAGGTTCAGGTTTTGCTTAGCTCCTATAGTCTAGGGCTGTTTCTGAATCCTTAGTATGAAGCCTGGGCCAAAGGAACCATTCATTTCCCTCAAGGAAGAGGCTTCCCAAGCTGTGAAAGAGACAGGCACACAGAATTCTGTGGCAGGCAGAAGGTAAGCAATGTAGATACTAAAGAAGCATGCAAATGATATTTGCAAGAGCTTGGCTTAGCAAAATGAATTATAGCTAACTCCTAGAGAGTGGCATAAGCTGCTCTCAGCTCTATAGTGTTAGAAGATGAGAGTTAAAGAGAATCTTAGAAATGATCTTATATGAGCACTACAAGAAGAAGATATTAAGGAGAAGGCATCTGAGCGAGGCTTCATCGTCATCTAATTCTTTAACCAATATTTTCTGTTTATTACATGTTAGGAACAGTTCTAAGCATTAAGAATTGAGCAGTAAAGAAAAAAAAAATTCCTGTGGGCCAGGGATTTAGCTCAGTGGTTCCACTGCCTGCCTCAGAAGTGCAAGGTCCAGAGTTTGATCCCTGGTACCAAAAAAAAAAAAAAGCACATTCACAGTTGGGCCGGGGATTTAGCTCAGTGGTTTTGCTGCCTGCCTCAGAAGTGCAAGGTCCAGAGTTTGATCCCTGGTACCAAAAAAAAAAAAAAAATTTCTGCCTTGTAGGACTTACATTCTTCTAGGAAAGACAGAAAAGAAAATACACTGTTAGAGGCTACACATAAAAATAAAATTGGGGTGTGACTCAGGGATAGGGCATTTGCCTAGTGTGTATGAGCACCACAAAAACAAACAAGGAAATAACAACAAAGTAGGAGAGAGGGGTAGAAAATTGAAGGGTTGCAACTTTAGATGGAGTAAAAACAATGTCTTCACTGTGTCATGATAACTCCAGTAAAAATGAGCCAGAAGTGAATATTCCAGTTGGAGGGAACATCAAATCCAAAGGACTCAAGACAAGAGTTTGTGTACACACTGAAGAAAAAACAGAGGCCCTTGTGGCTTTAAAAGGGTGATTTAGTAGGTGAGATGGGTGCCATTTGGAAGCCTCTAAAATGGAATGCAAACTATGTTTTTACATATTAAATTTTGTTTTCAATGCTACTACAAAAAAATCCTTACAAAAATTAAGGAAGTTGTTGGTACTTTCATTAAATTCACTATCTACTGATTATTCTCTTTTAGAAAATTCAGACTTATCAAAAATGGTCTGCTTTGGTGGTAAAGTAAAAAAATAAAAATTGTTTCTCAATTTTGTGACTAATACTGGATATCAGTTTCTTTTTTTTTTTTGGATCTTAGTAACTTTAACACACCGATACAATACTAATTGGAGAAGACTGCCCTGAGATAAAATGTTTCAAGACGGGTGGTACACAAATGTTATGGGATAGATGAGAATCTTAAGGAGCATTATAGATGCTTATAATCCTGGGAGTAATGTCTGTTGATTGTGTGAGTAGGGCAAAGGGGGAATATATAATAACTGTTAGCTAGTACCAGCATGAATTCTGTTTCTGTCCCAAAGCAATAAGGACAAATGACACAGTTTTAGAAGCCAATGCAGAGATCATAGGAGACCAATAGGGAGACTAACTAAAAAGATGTATACAGAAACTTTCTGGATTTACGAGACCAGGGCTGTCGGGCTCTCATAGCCACCACACTTCTCAAATTATTAATTACAGCCAATTAAGGATGAGAATTCAAAGAAAGAATGACACTTAGAAATTATTCAAAGTCATACATACACACACACACACACCAAACTTATTGGCTAGGGACATAGAGATGAAGATATTTCTAATAGAATGTAATCTCTACAATGGCACAAGTTTTGTCTGCTTTGTTTACTGCTTTATCCCATGAAGTGAGGATAGTGGTTGGGATAGAGCAGAAACTACAAGTTCTTTTGCTAAATGAATGAATGCATGGTGAGTGAACAAACAAGACAAGGTATTTGCTCTTAAACAGTTCATATCCAGTAGAGTAGAAAACCATGGAAATATTCTCAGTACCATGTGACAGATACTATGATTAAGAGGGCAAAAGTTCTAGGGAAGCAAAGAAGAAGGGCTCATTATAAATAACAAGGAAACTGTCCAGATATGATGACACTTGATCTGAGTCTAGAAATGACTCTGGAATGAGCCAGGCAAAAGAGAAATGTGATGGCAAAACAAAAATCTTAGAGGACAGTGTGAGGGTGAATAAATGTAGGACTGGAGTTCTGTGCCACAAATTCCTTGGCAGTCTAGTGATATCTATGGGCCTTTTCATCTTATAGTGTTTCTTTAGAATGCATAGTGTAAAATACATATGATTATAAAAAAACCAATTGTACTGACAGTTATGAATACCTAAAAAGAACTTTGTATGATAGAAATGTATATGATTTATTAACAAGATCTAACTGGAGATAATAGTTACTATAATTTAAAAGAAATGACAGACATAAATGATATTCTAAGATATCTGTAGTAACTATAATGTGATAGGAAAATACCTATGACTTCTATGTTGACACTGTTGTAGTTACTGTTGCTATTACTAGGGTTTACTACTCACACTTGTAATTGGAGGAAATGTTAAATTTTAATTAGAGGTTAATAAAAACGAAGATGTAATTATTTTTCTATCCAAGACTTATGTTTTATACCTATATTCCTTGGGGGCTTATGGACCTAGGGTTAAGAATCACCATTTCTAGGTGTGTTTTGAGGGCCTGAATGGGTAGGAATGACAAAGGAGGAAGAGATTTGTGAGAAATTTAAGAAAGAGAAGAATTTAATAGATGTGATGATATAATGGTAGATAAGGAAAAGAGAAGTATCTAGGTTGATGTTCAGGTTTCTGGTCTAGAGAATTTGATATGAAACATAAGGATAAATGACAAGGTCAATTTTAAGTTCAGAAAGGTTTTCATGTTACTTAAATCATAAGGCCTGAGAAATAGTAATTATTCATTTACTTTTTTTTGGTACCAAGGATCAAACTCAGGTTCTTGTGCTTGCGCAGCAGGGGGCAAACCCACTGAGCTAAATCCTCGGCCCCAACAGTAATTATTCATTAAGATAATTAACCATTCTTATAGATCCTGTCATGATCTGAAGATTGGTGAAGACAGGACCATACCCTGAAGAGTCACGCATCTTTTCCTGGGTAAGTGAGCAGAGCATACCTTTCAAACTCAAGTGCATTGCTCTTTCTACCAGGATGCTGACGGCAAAAGTTCCATCCAACCCAGCAGGGGCCTCCTGAGCTAGGCAGACTTCAGCTGTGGTGCTGTTGCAGGGCACCTGGGTAGATGCAGAAGACTTCTGGTGGCCACAGGGTGGAGAGAGCTGCATCTCATCATTTCCTCTGGGAAGCTGCTCAGACTCACTGTGGCTGCTGCAGTCCATGGAGAGTAGGCTCTCACGAGTGGGCTCAATGTGTGGAGAAAGACAGGAAAGAACCACATGAACTCGCAAGGCAGCTCCTGATAGGTTAGAAGCATTTCGTCCAAACAGAGGATATACACCTGCAAAAGAATGGAGAAGAATAAGCCCAGGTAAGTGGGAAACAGTAACATTTTCCAATCTTTTATTTATTTATTTTTGAGAGAGGGTCTTGCTATGTAACTCGCTGCAATCCTGCTGCCTGAGTCTCTAAGTTCTGGCCTTACAGGTGTGTGCCACTACTCCTGGTGACTCTTTAATCTTTGAGGAAATATTCACTGGGGGGTGCTTTGGACAGTCACTCAAACACACTCAATTTTCCTTTTTTAGTCTGGGCCACCTGTTCAACAAAATGGTCAGAGGTAAGTCTAACAGGGTTAAAGTAGGGTCATGACTCAGTTTCTTTAATTGTAAAGTGGGAAAAATAACTAACCTTACAAATTGGTAAGCTGAATAAATATAGCTGTAATGTGAGCAGAGCATAACTTTCAAGCTCCAATTCGTTCTGCATTATAGTCACTAGCCTTTTTGTCCCAGAGTGCAAAAATATGAATTACCTCTATTCAGAACCCAATGTAATAATTTTCCATGGCTCTTGGAAAAAAGTCCAATCTATTCTGTTTAGGTGAAAAGATCTTCAATGTAGTACTCTTGTCTATCTCTCTAATATCATCTTCATCATTTCCTAACCTATGTACCCTATGATCCAGCAGTCCACATTATTTATAGCATCTAAAATGTATTCAATTGCTTCATGCCTCCATGCCTTCACATATGCACTTCCCTTTTCTAGAATTCCTTTCTTTCCTCCTTTCCTTGGTATTTCTAAATTCTTTTTTTGGTACCTGGGATTGAACTCAGGACTTTTCACTTGCAAGGCAGGCGCGGTGCCACTGAGCTAAATCTCTGGCCCCGATATTTCTAAATTCTTTGAAACTCAGATCAAGTATTACTTCCACTGAGATACTGTCCTTTAATCAAAGATTTTGTATCCCTTTGTTCCCAAAGCTCCACTTAAAATATCTTTTTAAAGTTGTTATTTTTACTATAATTATTTACTATTTTATTCTCCCATTAGACTGTAAAGTGAAAGAGGCCAGGTAATATTTCTATTCATTTTTGAATTCCCAGCACATGAATCAAACACTAAGCAAACTGAAAGAATAGTAACCAGCACATATCACTTACAAAATATCATCTTTTTCCTCTCTGCCTTGTGAGTCAGTTTATTACTGTGTAGATTTTCTTTATGATTCCAAGATGTGCTGACCAGAGAGAATGAATATCCTGCTCCCTTTAGGAGTTATCTTTTCAATGTAATCAATAAGCCCTCACCCTAGAAACCATGTAGGCTTTTACACATGTGGTAAAAGGTATTCCCCTAAGTTTATTCATCCTTACTCTATAGATATTAACTGAGTGCTCACAATATTCTATGTACTGAGTTAGGTGAAAAAACTGATGAACTTGGGTGCACTTTATTGCTACAAAGTTCAGAGCCAGTTCTTTGATCCGTGGTGATAACAAGGGAAAGCCAGCCAGTGGACCATTCTTTGAAATTTCTTTAATTATAAGAAGCATTACTAAATTATTACTAATCTTTCAGCATTCAATAATGGAAAGAACACTTATTAGTTTATGACCCTGGATACAACCATTCTGGGCCTCCATTTTAATGACTGTAAAATGCGTCTAATACCTATCCCACAGGATTGTTGGGAGGATCAAATAAAATAGTTTCAGACAGAGTGTCTCACATAGTGCTGGACATAGAGTAGGTGCTCAAACCCTAAGAACTGGACCTAGTTCCTCACTTACCACTGACAGTTAGTGTTCTTGCTGACCTCTCCCCAAGTCTGGCCAAGTCCACGTAGGCTGATCCAATCCAGCTGTCTGTCTGGTGGGGCCTCTCCACACTATCACTGCCATAAGCTCTCCACACTTGGATCTCTAGCCTCTCCTCCCTGAAGTACCAAAGCAGTGATGGGCCCCGAGTGACTTCTGCTCTTCTGGATGCCTTGAAAGTAACCATGACCTGGTTTTTGTTTGCAGATTCCTTAGGCTTCTTGAGAGGGGTCCAGAAGGCTTCATGATCATATAGCTTGTAGCGAAGGTAGCAAAATGTATTCTTATGAATATGGTTGTGGCCAGCAAACAACATGCAATGGATGGGCAGCCACAGTCTTGGAGTAGAGATAGTGACAGTGGCTAGCTCCTCCTCATCTACCTTGACAAGATCCTGCAAGTTGTTTTCAAAGCTCCAGCCCAATAGCTCAGCAGCTTCTAGTACCCGTTCTCTATCTCCAGGACGAGTGAAAGAAACTGAAAGTTCCAGACCACCCACAATCTTTTGCATAAGCTCCAAGCCATGAGGCAGGCCTGTGTCTTCTGGTAAAAGGACAGGATACCATCCTGTGATCCCTTATGAGAGAAAGGAAAGAGTTTAAATTATTGTCTTAAAAGTAAACAAAAACCCAAAAAACACTTACTCCATCTACCCCCAATTCTCTATCATCCTGGCCCAAGGCAGAAGAGAAAACACATGGCCACAGTAAGCTGGAGTTTGTCTTTCGTCTGACCACTAAGAGGCAATTACATTAGATGGGAAAAACAAAGGCTAGAAGTTGGAAGATCTGAGTTCCCTCCTTGGCTCAGCCCCAGATCAGGGATTTACTTTCTGTGCAAGCCATTATTTTTCCTAAGCTTTAATTTCTTTACATCACAAATGGGAAAATTTACACTAATCCTTTTTAGCAGATAAGTTGCTAATTGCTAAATGAGACAATGGTTGAAGAAGAGCCTTGAAAGAAAAATGCTATGAAAGGTGTGATATGTTATGGTACTGAGAGTACAATGGAAAAGGCATGGGACAAAATGTCAAGAGATCTGGGGTCTGTTCCCAGGTATTCAACCAAGGGAACTGTCATTTTGTGCACATAAGAACCAAGCACTAGATTTCAAAATAATGGAAGCTCAGAGTCTTGACCAATTTATTACATTTAATAAGTTGCAGAATAAGGATTTGAACCCAGGTCTAGCTGGCTCCAAAGTCTACAATCTACTCACTCTAGGTTTACACTATTTTATCAGAAACTGTTAGGGACAGATTTGTTTTTGAACTTAGTATTTTACAGATTTTAGAAAAAATGAACATTATATAACAGCCCAGGAGTACATAAGTCAGGGGTGGGCAAACTTGGTCCATAAAAGGTCAGACAGTAAATATTATAGGTTTTTATAAACTGTGTCTATAGGGCCGGGGATTTAGCTCAGTGGTTCCGGTGCCTGCCTCGCAAGCACAAGGTCCCGAGTTCAATCCCTGGTACCAAAAAAAAGAAAAAAACGAAAAAATAAACCGCATTTATTGAAATTATTCAACTATGCAACTGCAGTGACTAAGTAGCCATAGACAATATATAAACCAATGGGCATGATGTGTTTCAATAAAACCTTATGTTATATAGAAGGTTGGTTGACTCTTATGGGTGAGTTTGGGTTTGGCTGCATAATGAGTCATTAAAAAACTTGATTTTCAGAGCTTTTTGGATTTCAGAATTATGTAAGACAGATTGTAGCCTAATATAATAATACTCATAGCAATTTTCTGAGAAAGGTTTTATTAATTATACTTTACAAATGAGGAGATTAGCTTTATTAAGATTAATTTGTCAAAGGCTATATAAAGTTTAATAACTTTTAGGCAGGATTTCATTTTTTCTGGGCTTCCAAGGAGGCTCGAAGTGTTGATCTTAAGGCTTCTTTCAAATTGAACAGTTTAATAAATGATAACTGGCTTCTCATCTGAGTATTAGTTCTATCTATCTGTGTATCTATCTATCTATCTATCTATCTATCTATCTATCTATCTATCTATCTATCTAATATTTTGAGACAGGCCCTTCCTATGTAGTTAAAACTGGCCTTAATCTTAGTATGCAGCCCAGGCTGCCCTAGAACTGGAGGCAATTTTCCTACCTCAGCCTCCCTAGTGCTGGGATTATAGGCATGTGCCACCACACCCATGAGTTCTTTTTTTTTTTAGTGGTTCTTTTTCTTTTTCATTTTTGGTGGTACTAAAGATTGAACCTTAAGTCTTTGCACTGACCTACATCTCTAGCCCTTTATAAAAAAAAAAAAAAGTTTTGTGAGACATGGTCTTGCTAAGGCATTTGCCCACATTTGGGTTGGATTTGTAATCCTCCCACCTTAGCCTCCCACAGTGTTGGGATGACAGACCTGAACCACCATGCCAGGTCAGCCTACTTCTTCCCAACATTATTTGGTCATAGACTCCTTTTGTTCTGATGAAAGCTATTAGAGCATGAGAAAACTGTATAAATGTTTGTATACATCTGCATTTAAGAATTGCTCAGATTGTCTTTTTGGCTTGGTGATTCTATAATAGAGATTACTGGCAGGAAGAGAGACAGAATGTTCACTGTAGAAGAACACTGAATACAAAGGCAAATGGTACTGTATATCCCAAGTTGTCTAAAAGGTTTATATTTAAGGGGTGAAATTTAATTTGTAGAGATTTAGAAGATGGTGCCTGCTCCTTGAAAAACTCTGTAGTAATTTTCAGAAGCAAGGAGCTGAACTGTCCTATGTGCCCAGCCCTCTGACAAGGTCTTTCACATATATAATTTCATTAAATGTTCCCACAGTTTTGTGAAGTAGATCTTACTTCTATTTTTATAGATGAGGAAACTGGATCTGAGAGATGAAGTAACTTATCTAGATCACAAATAGTAAGGTGAAATTTGAGTGCTATATTAAGTTGTACAGACTTTTCTTTGGTATGCCATAGGCAGGTACTATTTATTAGGGTAGTGCTCAAATTTTAACTCACATTTAAATTTGGAGATGGATAAGACTCTGGAATCTAGATCACACAATTGTAGGAAGATGGAGAATAGGAGGGAAACATTTACTGAGTACCCACTATGTGTCATGTACTTTCTTTTATTATATCAATTCCTACACCTTGCAGTTTGTCAGGATTAGTAACAGCTACGAAGGGTTGGGCTATAACTTGGTCAAGGTCACCAACTAGTAGTAAGTGGGATGGGACCACTATTTCCACATTGTCTTGGTGGTTGTGTCTATTCTTCTGGGCTTTTATTTCATACCTTTAATTCCTTCCTCAGTGTTGAATGATAGTAGTGAAAAATAATGAGTGATTTCAAATTCTGCTACTCACTAGCTGTGTGGTTTTGGCAAATCACTTAGCCTCTCTGAGTCTGTTTTCTCATCTGTCAAGTGAAAATAACAATATTCTATATCCTAGGCAGTTATCTTAGAATTCAAACAAGATCTGAAAAAATATTTTACAAAGTGTTATTATGACAACTATATATTGCCATATTCACCACCATCATCATCATCATCTTTCCTAGGGGAGAATGAGTACACTGTTTTAAGTCTCTTTTGTTTTATTAGACAACTTGTATAGTGACAGGGAAAAACCTTAAAATACTTAAAACTTTGAGGTACCCAGAAGAGTTCAGAAGCATGTGTTAAGGGGTGTTTCCTTCTGCATATTTTAGAAGGGAGTCAGACAAGATTACCTCTTGAAGGGAAGTGAATGGGCAAGGGTAGAAAGTGATAATTCAGGATCCTTACCAGATCTCTTGACTAGTAGCTCTTTTGTTGGAACCTTTACTACTCCAAGTAAATACTCTTTGCATGACTGGATACTGGATATATCACTGACTATTAAGTTAAGAAAAAAAAAAAGGAAGAAGAAAAAAAATTATTTGGTGGTCTACTGACCAAGTTTTGTGTTTACAGTAGATTCATATAACCCTCCAGTTATATTCACTGAATCTTAGCATTAATAGATACATTAAAGATTATCTTGCTCATATCCTAAACCAAGTCTGAATGCCCTTGAAAAAAAATTTTTTTTTTTGGTACCAGGGATTGAACTCTGGACCTTGTGCTTATGTGGCAGGCGCTGGAACCACTGAGCTAAATCCCAGGCCCTGTTTTGTTTTTTGAGACAGGGTCTCACTATGTAGTTCAAGTTGGCCTTGAATTCACCATGTAGCCCAGGCTGGCCTCAAACTCTCAATGATCCTTCTGCCTCAGCCTCCTGAGTGCTGGGATTACAGGTGTGCACCACCACACCTGGTGCCCTTAAAAATTTTTGAACATTTTGAAAAAATTGCAGGCATACAGAAAAGCTGCAAAATATTATAATGAACTGCTATACATCCTTCATTAGATTCACCCATTAGTATCTGTACACAATTGCTCTGTGTCTCTCAATACTATCTCTAAATTCTCTCATACACACTTAATATATATTCTTATTTTTTGCTATATTCTTCAAAAATAATTTGAAAAGATTATAATTTCTCACCTCTATTAAACACTTCAGTATATATCTCCTAGGAAGGGCTATATCATTTAAAACAGAATCACTTTTTAAAAATTATGATTGTTATTTATCATTTGGTGCTCACCTGATTTGGTATTTTCATGATAGATAGCAAAAGTAATTTCTGCAAACTCCAATAGCTCTGCCAGGAAACAGGCCTCTCCATTACAGTGTTGAGTTACCAAATTACATGGGAACTCAATGTGATGGGAGAACTCAGGGCAGAAGGAACAGGCCACAGGACGGGTTTGGCGCTGTTCTCCCTTGGGCAGGAACGAGAGATGAGCAGTGACAGAGGCATTGATCCCAACAGTGGCACTAAAGCGTAGAGCAGGTTCCTGCTCAGCCAAAGCCCTGTGGGGAGAGGGGCGGAAATGAGAAGGTATACACCATGGTATTATCAGAAATTAGCCTGATTCCCTAGAAACTATCTCTGCTACTTTCACGAGACCACCAATACTAACCAACAGTAATTTTCTACTTTTTTTTTTTTGGTACCGAGGATTGAATTTGGGACCTTGCGCTTTTGAGGCAGGTGGCAGAACCACTGAGCTAAATCCCCGGTCCCAACAGTAATTTTCTATCTAAGCTTTTGGCAGTTTAATAATGCACTAGAGTACTTGTGCGCGGAGGGGGGGGGCAGTTAATATTCATCTGCCTATCAGAGTAACATACTAGAGAATTGTACTGGCAGTGCCCTTCAGTCAAAGACTATAGGAACCAACTGCAGTTGAGCAAGCTGCATATATTGCTCATTGCAATGGGGAAAAATACACACCAGGTGGAACTATAGAGCATCTCATGAAGAAGGTATCGGAAAGGACTTGTAGCACTGAATTCATGATAACCAATTTAGGAGAAGGCTCAAAGGAGAAAGGTTTTGTTCTGTACAATATTCTTTACGGGTCTTATCTAGAAGGAGGAGAGGCTAAAGTTAAAAGCTGTAACTCTGCTGAGACTGTTAATCCTATATCAATTTCATTGGATTCAGAAATGTCTAACTGATTAGTAGAGTACACTCCTGGGTGTGTCTGGGTATATTGTGGAGGAATGGCCTTGGTACCATGTATAATCCCTCACCAGTTACTCTCTGGCATTCTTCCCCTGCTCTGCTTCCTGGATGCCATGACCAAGCAGCTTTGCTCTGCCATGCCTTTCTGCCATGATGCCTCTGCCTTGGATCCTGCTGATCAAGGACCAAAACCTGAGCTAAATTAAACCTTTCCTCCTTTAAATTGTGGGTGTTGGCCCACTTTGGTTACTCTGCCTCTGTTTTCTACCTCTCTGGGCCTGTTCCTCCCACCCCCACCCCTGGCCCCAAACCCATGTCATCCCTGCTGTGCTTCAGGCCCCACCCCCTGACCTGTGTCATCCTGATGGAGCTTTCCTGCATGGTCCCCAGCAGGAGATACTGCTTGGGGCAAGGGAAAGACCCTACTTAATTCCACTGGCAGGGGCTGGAGGCCCAGACACATCAGGGAAGGCTAGCATGTCTGTTTTCAGTCTGTGGCCTGAAGCAGTCTGTCTCCCCGGGGCCAGGGCTGGGCAAAGGGGGCTCAGCTATGAGAAGTCACCCTTGTGGGAGACAGCCTCCATTTTCCAGACAGTACTGGCCCAGACGCTGAGCTCCTGTGGAAGTCCTCCTTTTGCCCTTTCTTTTCTTTACCTGCCCCTGTGTATCTGGTGGCATGGTCATTTGATACAGAAACTGAAGGCCAGTGAGTGGAGGGGCCATGGCCAAGGTGGCAGCTTCAGGGCTATGTCTTCCCCTTTGGGGCCCTGAGGACAGGAGGGTCTGCAGGTTTGACAAGTGACAGGCAGGGACCCCAGGGTGCCAGGAGGAGGTGGCCATTCAGCTTCTGTCCTCCCTGGCCACACCTTCCAACACTGGTACAGGGAGGAAGATGCTTAGAGGAACTCCTGGACTGAGGCCATCTTCCAGTGGGGGGTGCGGGTGCGCTGAGGGCTCAGCCTTGCTGATCCTGGATGATATGAATTTTGCTATTTGCCTGTGTGCATGTCTGCTGGGTGTACTGCACGTCAGTCTTGTTGCTGTGACAAGTAACAACTTTTTAAAACTGTTTTTTATATGAAAATTTCACAACAATCTGACATTCTGGTGCTAAGGGATTCCTGGTGCCGGAGATGGGCCTGAGCTGGGCCAAGACTGTGGCCAGGCCTCTCTACTGACCAGGGGGCTGTGTTGACTGGGTAACCCCTCTCCCAGCAGGGATGGGGAGGTGCACTTGGGCCTTCCCCACTTGCAGTAGGGAGAGCAGCTCCAGAGGGCTTTGGGGGTGCTGTGCTCTTCCTGTCTGGGAAGGCTGACTCTGGACAGTCCAGAGAGGGTTGTAGAGGATGTGTATTACTCCTCCACACACCTTCATCTTGTTCAGAGCATGGCAACTAGGCAGAAGTGGGTTTGATCCAGCGTCAAAGGGTAGGCTGGGACTCTGGGACAAGAGGGCCGTTCTATATGTATTCTGAGTGCTACAGTGGTGTGCAGCTGGGGAATGAGGAAGGGAGAGAGGCCCTGGTGCACTTTGCCCTTGTTACCTATGTTGAAGGAGGTGGGACCCTCCCCCCCCAACACCTTTCTGCAGGGTATGGCTGCCTGCCCCAGCCTCTCAAAGGTATTTGGCACTTGAGGGGAGGAGGGTGACCTATATTTTTGCTGCGGGGTGAGTTTCCAGGACACCTCTCAAAGCCCACAGGTAGTCCCTGGTGTTGGAAGTGGGGGTCCTGGATAACTTGATGTTTAGCACCTTAACTCCCTTGTCTTTGAAGTGGACATGGGGGGGTGCTGCCAGAAGTGGCTGTTGGGTTGGACCCCTCCCTCTCTCCCTCCTGCTCTCTGACACTAGCTGGTCTGTAGAGTCCTCAGCCCAAGAGGGTAGGGCCCTGGGCAGGGCTCTGCAGGGTATGCTCCCCTCCCAGTCAGGGCCAGGTAGACACTCAGTAAAAAGACCAGCACGGCAGACCCCCAGGGTCTAGTGAGCATGGACCTTGGAGGCCCATACCCTGGCACCTTGGCAAAATGAGACAGCTGGGATCTCTCTGCAGATCTACTTCTGGCTCAGTGCAAGCCCTGCCCTCCAAACAGAAAAGTGCCCCAGGGGCTGACACTTAACACAAAAATGGGATGCACTTTATTTGCTCCTGTACAGGCAGATGAGGGTGTATCCTAGGTTCCAGTGGGCCTTCCTATCCCTTTGGTGGTTCTGAAGGGAGACCCTGGGAGGAGAGGCTGTCCCTGTGAGTTCTAGCTGGGTGGGCCCAGGCAGCTTGCCTTTGAGTCTGGTTTCAGGAGGGTCAGTGGGTCACCCCTTCTGCCTGAAGGCCACGCGCCCTAAACTTTAGGTATCTTCTTTCTTTCTTTCTTTTTCTTTATTTTTATGCAGTTCTCAGTACACAAGTGCATTTTGAAAGACAGGCTCCAGCTATCACTTGTAACCTTATATATACATATATATTCTATCTACAAAGTGTTTATTTGCAAGATGTTTTGACGGTGCGCTTGGGCCCTGCCCACCTTGTGACCATCCGTCCCCATCCTCATCCCCGTCCCGCCCCCTAGATCAGAGTGGTGGGGCAGGCCATCAAGTGTATGTATTAGAAATGACTGGGCCAGGGATTTAGCTCAGTGGTTCTGGCGCCTGCCTTGGAAGTGCAAGGATCCGAGTTCAATCCCTGGTACCAAAAAAAAAAAAATGACTGTATCAAATAAATATTTATTGATTTCTTTTCCAGGGGGGGAAAATGTGGGTGTTGGGTATTTTGTTCCAGTGGTGGAGTGACTAATATATCTGCCTACATGTAGGAAGAGATAATGGTAGGCAGCAAATGTGACAAAATCCTGAAGGAGAATAGGAGTTTAAGTAGTTATAGTGAAGGAGAATATTAGATGCAAAGAGAAGTATGAACAAAAAGACATGAAGGAGGTGAGGGAGTGGGCCACGCTGTCCTCAGAAACAATGTTCTAGCAGAGAAAATAGTATGACAAAGGCCCTGAGAGGAAAATGTGCCTGGAGTTTAGAAGCAACAAGAAGGCCAGTGGCTGGAGTTGAGCAAACAGAGGAGACCCTAGTGGGATGAGATGAGGTCACAAAGATAACAGGGGGTCAAACCATATGGGATCTTAAGCCATTTTAAGGGCTCTGGTTTTTACTTTGAATGAGATGGAAATTCACTGGTGGGTTTTTCTTTTTTATTTTGGTACCAGGGATCGAACTCAGGTCCTTGCGCTTGCACAGCAGGTGGTGAAATCACTGAGCTACATCCCCGGCCCTGGTGGGTTTTAAATAGACACATGACAAGGTCTGGCTTAAGTTTTCATAGGATCATTGGCCATTATGATGTTGAGAACAGACTGAACAGGAACAAGATTCTGGAAAAACAAGAGGTGGTATTCAGGGCCTGAAATATGTGAGCCTGAATTTATAGAGGTGTTGCAGTGATTGGGCATGGTGTGGTTCGGGGGTACGGTATATGACCAGAGGGGTAAGTGGTTAAAAAAGGTGAGCGTAACATTCTTGGAAAAGGCCAAGAAACCAAACTGCAATAACATTATGGCACAGTCTATAAGTGATTTACTCACTTAAATTTTGAAAAGTTTTCTTAACAGTGAAAGAGTTGTGGTTAGTGAACTGAGAATTATGCACAAGAAAGTTCAGGCACATCTAAGCATCATCTTGTGGGGATTACAGTAGAAAAAGGTTTGAGAATTGGCTTTTCTAAGGTGGACCTACTTGGCTGCGGCTTGCAGTCCACAGGCTCTGATAATATGTACCGAGATGGAGACAGTTCGAGCGGCAAGAACTCCCTCTGCTGTTCTTAGACTACGCCAGTACCTTATGCCCACATCCAGTAAACCTGAAGAATGAGGACAAAAATCAAAAGATTAAAAGACTGGTTAGAAGAATCTCTGTTCTACAAAACCAGAAAGTCTTGGTCAGGAATGCAGAAAGAGAAGAAATACTACAATCCTAATGAATGATAAGGGGCTTTAACAGAGAAGCTGTTCATGGACAGAACCGCATTGAATACTGCACTTTAGTTTTAACCACATGCCATCTTTCAATAAAAAAATTCTACCATCTTACTGTCTTGTTTTAAGGAAAGCTTTAAGGAATAACATAAGCTGATCAGTGAGGGTGAGGAGGTATGGCAAGATAAGACCTTTTGTTTTGGCAGATGCTCTTCAGCAAGCATGTATAGCTACTTGATTTAGAAAACTAGTTCTAGATAAACTCAGAGGGTAGATCATACTGATGGAACTAATAGGCTGTGATACCATTCAAAATTCCAAATAGTAGTTAATCACTTGCAATTTGAATCCTAACTTCCCCCTCCCTTACAGTGAATTACCAGTTCAAACTCACTATATTCCATCAATCCCACACCTGTTCATGTTGCCTTAGAATAATAGTACTGTGAGTGTACCTTTAAAATACTTAGAATTAATGCTATGAAGATTTATTAAATGTTTAAGTTTAAGGGAAATAAGAAAGCATCATTTATTCAAAGTCCATGGAACTATAACTTTTCTAGAATTGTATGCAAAATTTTCAGTTTACATTCTGCGCTCATTTTGCTGAAAAGAGGTCTCATAGTTTTCATCAGATCCTCCAAGGGTAAGTACCCACAAAAGTAAAGAATCACTAATTTATAGAGAGAAAACGGGTATGTATATATACTGACTTTGAAAGGGATAGACACATTAGTCTTCAATTACCTGATGACTGGCTCCTCAATTCTTTCCTGTTCTCAAACCTGGGGATTAAAGGGAGATTAAAGGTCTGTATTCCCACATCCTCACGGTGCTGCATGGTTACCATGGCACAGATCCTCGATAATGGCAAGGTTCCTTTGGCAACCATCTGGTCTCTCACATTAGGATAATAGTACCTATGAAACACAAAAGCACAAGTTGTCAGTTGGAAAAATTAGTGGGTGAATGATTCAGTCTGTCCCAGGGATTAACTTTCAGAATCCATTTATCTTTGGAGCCTGATTATTCCCTATCGGTAGTATCTAGCTGTGATTGTGTCTGGCTGGATTTACTTCCCATTATATTACACGAAGAAACAACTCCATAAATTATACCCTGAGTTCAGCACAAAGCCCAGCTTCCCATAAGCTTTCTGTTTGAGGTATCTGTCTGTCTTAGACTTCTGGGAGTAGACACTTACTAAAGCTTCTATCCTGCAGCAGCAAAAATGGATGTAGATGAGAATAGATAAAGAACTTAAAAAAAAATCAAACCCTCCAAATATAAAGACCCAATTCAAAAATGGGCATCTGAAATAAACAGATATTTCTTAGACAAAGAAGTAAAAGCAGCAAATAAACATATGAAAAAATGTTCAGTATCACTGGTCATTCGAGAGATGCACATGAAAAAAACACTAAGATTCTACCTCACCCCAGAAAGAATGGCTGTTATCAAGAAATCCACCAATAACAAATGCTGGTGGGGATGTGGGGAGAAAGGAACCCTTCTCCATTATTGGTGGGAGTGCAGACTGGTGCAACCACTGTGGAAATCAATATGGAGGTACCTCAAAAAATTAGGTTTAAGGGTCGAGGATTTAGCTCAGTGGTTCCACTGCCTGCTTCGCAAGCACAAGGTCCCGAGTTCGATCCCTAGAACCACAAAACAAAACAAAACAAAACAAAGCTAGGATTAGAGGTCCCATTTGACCCAGCTATTCCTCTGCTGGGTATCCTCCCAAAAGAATTAAAGGAATCATGCCATAGTGACATATGCTTACACATGTTTATGGCAGCAGAGTTTGTAATTGCTAAAGCTTGAAAACAGCCCAATTGTCCATCAACTGGAGACTGGATAAAGAAGATGTGGTTTTTTTTTTTTTTTTTTAAATGGAGTACTACTCAGCCATAAAGAACGAGAAACCAGAGCCATTTATAGCTAAATG